GCTTGTTGTTACACAAGTGTCTCGACAGGCGGCAAAAAACAAAACTAGGTTCTATTCTAATACATATCTTAAATTCTGTCTCTCTTCTCTGCAAAAAAGTTCCTTAACACAAAAACTTGTAAAAGGCTTATAAGAATAATTAGCACTGTTTGTCCTATAGACCAATACTGTACTCTCTCGTTAAGATATTCCGCTTCTTCACGTCCGGTCATCTCGCGTAGCCTATGGTGTGTTTGATAGTCGATAACCACCTTTAGTGCTTCATGTATGTTTGATGATGATGTCTCGATTTGAGTCAGCGCAGTGTGTTCTTTTCCCATGGATGCGAGGATTGGAGGCTCCTCCCCAGCTTGAAAATCGAGGTACACTGTTTTATGTGCGAAGCTTGAGAATTCGTTGCCAAAGCAGAAAATATACTCGCCTATGAAAGAAAGTGAGTGTCACCCTGGATTGATTCAACAGCGAGGTATATATCGATATACTAAACAAAAAATGCCGGGGGTTGGACAATAAAAATGTAAGATTGATAGCCCCCAATCTTTCTGCAGTAAATGGGCATGCGCAGTTGTGGCTTCACTTAATGCGCATGCGCAATGATTGCTTAGTGAGGGATGGTCCATCAATTCGCAAAAAGATAGAGAGAACTTTTCTGGACTTGTAGAAAGTGGAAGGGATTCTCTAAGTGCATAGAAATACGTCAAAGAGATTGGTTTTGGCAAGTAGAAACAAATCAAGGGACTAAAGTTTGAATGTTTTTGATAAAATATGGCTGCTTGGCATTTTCAAAGGCGGAGTTTCCATAGATATTGCAGCTACAAACACGGTAGCTGGAAACAGCTGATGAAATGCTGACATGGCATGATAAATATTGCGTGATTCGATTTGCCAATGCTCTAACATACGAATTATATTGTATTTTACGGCATTGTATTGTATCATATTGTTTTGTATTGTACTGTATCGTATTGTATTTATCAATATTGTGTTTTATCGTACTGTTTTGTATCGTACTGTATTGTATTGCACTATATTTTATTTGTATTGTATTGTATTGTATTGCATTGCATTGCATTGCATTGTACTGTATTGTATTGCATAATACTGTATTGTTTTTTGCTTAGTATAACATAGTACTGTACGAACTGTACTGTACTGTACTGTACTGTACTGTACTGTACTGTACTGTACTGTACTGTATTGTATTGTATTGCATTGTACTGTATTGTAATGCATTGTATTGCACTATATTTATTTGCATTGTACTGTATTGCATTGTTTTGCTTTGTATTACATAGTACTGTATCAAACTGTATTGCATTTTATTGGATTTGTATCAGATTATTTTGCATTGTATACGATTTATCTCACGATAGCTGTTGCAATAAAAGATAAGAACTAACTAAGAGGATTGCATAAAACAGCTTACTTACTGAAGAAAGAACTTAGTTTTAGGTGAAGAATTACTTACTGAAGAAAGAATTTTATTTTAAATGAAGAATTACTTACTGAAGAAAAAACTTAATTTTAAATGAAGAATTTCTTACTGAAGAATGAACTTTATTTTAAATTTTTAGGTGCTTAGTACTAAGGACATTCTTTATTGATACTGGGAGTGAATTCCAGATTTTAGGCACATGACAGCTTAATGATCTGGTACAAATTGTTGGAGTTCTGATTTTTGGAATGTCAAGAGGTTTTTTTCGTTTTCCATGAACATTCATAAACTGAAATGGGTTTTATAAACTTCAAATGCCAACATTCTACCTGATTGAATGTATATCAAGGACCATATATAAAGGCTAGTCGTAATATCCTTTACTTTGGTTTATATCGGCTTCCATTCTCTAGAGTTCTCAAGTGTGATGTGAAAAAAATCTATTTTAAAATATTTTAACTGTGACCACATAGCCTAGAAGAAAACAATGAAATACTTCTGAAAAAAGCAAAATTTGTAAATATTTCACAAATCGGGGGAGATATGGCCAAAGATAGATCTGAAGTTTGCTAACGGATTACTGTTATTCTGGCCTGGTTCATAAAGTTATGAACTGAGACCAAAATACAGAGGTTTGATGAGGCAAGAGCCTGTGCTCGTGTGGCCAAATCTCAGAAAACTAATAGCTGATATTGCACATTGAAAGGTATTTTATGATGTATTTTTCAAATATTTGATCCAAATTCAAAAATGCTAAAAATAGATTTTTGTGATGTCATCATTTTATACCTATCTAATTTTGCGTCATAAGTATTGCAAAACAGGGTAATTTTACTTGTCAAATTTTTAAATTTCTGGACCAAATTCGGATACCGCCCCCAATACTTTAGGGAAAAATGGTATTTTGTTCTGAAACAATGGGAAATGTGATGTCATGTTATTAAAACAATAGGCTTGCCCCCGCAGTATTTGACCAAGTGTCAGTCCCTGCTGGAGGTTTAGATTAAATTTCGCATTTTTGTGATGGGGTATGCAGTCCAGAACACAACAATATGTGTTGTGACATCAGGGGCAAACTAGGCGGTAGGATAAAAGAAGCAATAAGCTAGAAGGACGGATAAAATTTGCATGTAAAAATGTCCAGGTTTTATCCTACCTGCCAACTTAAGGGCAGAATGGTTAGATATGAATTTGTTCTTTCTGAATTATTATAACGGCATAAAATGTCAATGAAATTATTAAAACTGAACATAGACAGAAGTTTGAAAACAGAAGATTTATATTTTTGCTTGAATTTAGGAAGGAAGTCTAAAAAAATGAAATTTAATGATGGAGTAAATAATAAAAGTGTAGAACTTTGAAAGGATCATGGAAATATCTGGAATGAAGTATAACTGATGAAAAAGAAGAAGAAAAATTAACATTTTGAAATGGGCACAGAGAGCAGTGCATATCTGGTACGAAGATTTTTATCAGAAATCTGAGCAAACTTAGGGACAAGATTTGACCATATTAAATAATTTCAAGGGGTTTTGTAATCTTGCAGTGTGTATTTTCTATGTGTATCAAATGCATATCAACACTCTGGTAATTTTCATTATTCAAAGTTTTATTATAACAGAAATTCTGTGGAAAAATCTGTAATATAACTTTGTTGGTGATGTTTGTTATTGTAGGTTCATCCCATTTTAGGCTAGAAAGCATTCAAAATCATAGTTCTTCAGCCATAGGCCGATGAGTGGACGTAGTCCAAAATTTTAGCTTTAAAAGAACTTCATGTATGTTTGAAAAAACAAACTCACCTAGTGTCTTTTTCTTGTTAGGTTCAAAGTTCTTCCAAAACTCCCAGAATCCATCCTTTGCTTAAAAAGGCCAAAACTGCAAAAGCCTAACTTTCACATCGCAAAAATATTCTGTCCGCCAAATGGAAAATCTTTGAATGTTTTCCATGTGTTAGCTTGGTTTACAACCCAATGTGACATTTTCTTATGTTTTAGATATTTCCTTGAAAGTTCTTTCAAGGGTAACTGATTTACCATTGTGGGCAGAAAAGGAATTTAATAAAAAAGACCAGGGCACAAGACATGGCCATAAGACTTTTAGCAGGGCAACAGTAAACAGCTCTCCTAGTAATTTTCAGGTGAGCTGTTTGAAGGTAATTAATTATGAATAGAAACAAAGGAAAATTGACTTCAAGGAGGACAATCTGTAGCTCCCCTCCCGCATTTGAGGAGAGCCTGGGGGGAGCAAGAGCTTTGGCTCTCCTCAAATGGCCAGGCCTGATAACAGACTTTGAATTGTGAAAAAATATATATAAGAAAGATAAGGTGATGTGCAGGGGCGGACACTTGGTCAAATATTGGGGGGGCAAGCCTATTGTTTTTAATAAGATGACGTCACATTTCCCATTGTTTTAGAACAAAAGACCATTGTTCTCTAAAGTATTGGGGGGGCGATCGCCCCCCCTCGCCCCCCCAAGTGTCCGCCACTGGTGATGTGTGATTATGATAATTATGATGTTGAGTGAAGTCATATAATTATAGCACTTAGAGATTCAACCTGATTCTAAACAGGGTTAGAGAAAATTGATAGATTTGCTTCAATAATGCATGCCAACTATAGAAGCTGTTTGTGAGTTATAAAATAATATTTCCATCACTGACTGCAAACAGTTGCTTACTTCAACATTGCGCTGTTTTTCTATCACACATTGCAAAAGCATGCTTTTCAAGATCTTCTACATAACATATCAACTTCAACCAGGTTTGGCCATACTCTCAGTCAAGGTTCATTGTGTTTACAATAATCTCATCCTGGAGCATGTTTTCAGTTATTTTTAGTTTCTGTCATACAATTCATTGCCCCTCTCTATTTAATAACACCCAATTCCTCAACTGATGCCATTTGACGAAACCGCTTTCTTGCATATCCATTTAATGACAAAGCAGGGAATTTCAGTTGAGAAACTTAAAATTTTCCCTTAATTTTTGACATGTAAAAAAACATGAAAAAAGAACTTTCTAGTGGTTGGTTTGGATCTCACTCTGGAAAGCACGCTAAAACTCAACATGAAATAAGTTTTAACACATGCAGAAGGACTTAAACATAAATTGGGGGATTCAAACAGAAACAGGGGAATTAGAGAAGAAACAATGGGCCCCAATATTACCAAGGGGCTCCACACAGAAACAAAGGTCTTCACACATAAATTTAGGGCTTCAAACAGAAACAGGGGCTTCCAAAAGAAATAGGAACAGACCGCAAACAGAAAACGAGATCTTTAAAAAGAAATTGGGGCTTCATACAGAAATTGGGGACTTTGGAAAGAAATTGGGGGCTTCAAATAGATATAGGGGCAGATATCAGATATACATAGTAACTTTCAATCATAAACTGGGGGCTTCAGACAATGGGGGCTTCAAATAGATATATATAGGGGCAGATATCAGGTATACATAGGAGGCATCAAACATAAACTGGGGGCTCCAGACATTGGGGGCTTCAAACAGATTTTGGGGGCTTCAAACAAAAACGGTGCTGCAAACAATAATCCCAAAAGGCCTACCTTCAACTTCAGCCTTGAATTGATGACTATCATACTGCTTTTTCTTTTGGTCATACAGAATTTTTCCTTGAGGGTCCTTCAGTGTCACATCCACATCATAATGTCCACCTGTGACAACCTAAAGTAAATATTTGTCAATCATTTAATAATAATTTGGCAAGAGGTAATCTATGAAAGAACAGCAGTGTAAAGGAAGAAATTTTCAAATATAAATATCATGTGAACTGAAAAGAAGAGTTATATATATATTTGAGAAATGCTCAATCAAAGTATTTGATATGCAACAAAGAAAAGGATGTGTGAGAAGAAAGAACCGCAGGATAGGCTGTCCGCTGGATTCTGTGAATCTTGCAATGAGGGTTGTTATGAAAAATATACAAGAACAAAGCAATACGACAACGAGAATCCAATGTCACGAGATAAAATTTTCAAAATAAATTTAATTTAAATAATATACTAATATTTTGCCCCGGCATACAGGGCTTCATCAGAGTAAATGAAAAAGGACATTTTGTGATCGCGACCTAAACGCAAAACAGATCACTGGACCATTCATACACTTCCTCAAAGATACAACAGGAATAAATATAGACAATTTTAAAATCAATTTTCAAAGTAGCGGACCATTCATACACTTCCTCAAAGATACAACAGGAATAAATATAGACAATTTTAAAATCAATTTTCAAAGTAGCGAGAATATAAATCTACTTATTATTGAATAATGGCATTATTGGTAAAATTCAATTTGCTTTGTGCTGTGATGAGAAAATTTCCCTAGACATTGCCAAGATCACACATTGGATCAAATAAGCATTTCATGATAGAATTTTTGCTTGTTAAGCTGTGCAAATACTTTTGACATTTCTTACAACAGTTTGCAAATATTTTAATAGCTAAACAAAGAAACCTTTATGTGAATTATGGTTGAAATCCTTTAATTATTTACAACTTATTGGACATTTGAAAGCAAAAACAGTATTCTATTTACAGCATGCGAGTTCACTGAAACATTAAGGCCATGTCTATAAACAACAAAATAACATGAAAGCAGAGAAAATATAAATTCCTAAGCAGCAAAAGCAACGCTATTGTCTTTCTGTTCCGTGTTTTCAGTATGCATGTTTGCATAAAACAGATAGGTAACTTTTTTATTAGATTTATCCGTTTATGGCTAAAAATTTTGCTACTTTCTGAAAAATCTACACTTTGCAAATCAAGAAATGTTGAACGAAGTGGGAAAATTTGATGAACAATAATCAGATTATAGATTTAGGATATAATATTTTGTGGGATAAAAACACTCAATATACTGTAAAAAACTGACGAATTAACGTGACGATATTAACATTAATGGTTGCAATTTCTTATTTTGCAAAAAAAGCAAACAGCTAGTAGGAAAAGGCTGGTCAGTGACATAGGAAGAAGTTGGGCCTAGACGAAAGAACATTACGTGTATGAAAGTCCAACGTTAATGACTTCAAATAGAAAAATAATAGCTAAAATATGCTGAAAATACGACCAGCTTTAGGGCATTTACATGAATGGGAAACTGAAAAATATTATTGTCTTACCTGGAATTCTAGCGTGCATTTGGTGTCCTTCTTTATCACCTCATGAAAACATTGTTTAGCGTTATCCTCTAACTCGAAAGTTAACTCTGTACAGCTAACTGATACAATCAGCCACAAAAAAATTGGTAGGCCAACAGCCTCTTGCATTTTCATCTTCATTTTCCTAAACATAAATGTTATTTGTAGCTTCTTTGTCCCAGAAATCTTTCGGCCTACTCAATCTTCGACTTACATTCAGCATACGTAAATGGCGACCATGTTAAGAGTCTGGGGAGAGCGTCCATCCATCAGCCAAACGTGGCAAAATGTGCAAGCCCGTGGATCGTAATGCACAGCGGATACAACATCATGGGGATAACCCCGGATATATGTGGTGGGGAATGCCCTTTTTCGGGGAAAGGGGGCAGAATGAAAGATTAAAACAGTCAACGGTTTTCCTATAAAAATGTTATTTATGCGTACAGATTGGATCAAAAATAAAACAGTTGGCAATCTTTACTTGAAAAGTGTGCTAGCTCTAAAATTTTCTAAAATGCGAACTTGCTTGGCAATTGCACTAAAACCATACATAAATTAGCATGCTTTTGGATTTTTATATGTCCCCCCCCCAAACCGTTTTAGCCCCCTCAATCTGTAATATGTTCTGCAGAGAAACGCATTTGAAAGTGGAGGGGCCAAAATATTGAAGTTTTAAAAGGGGGCAAAGGCAAAAGAAAGCAACATTGAAACAGTCTTGTTTTGAAATATTCTTTATATTCAACTCTCACATTAGTCACCTCATTAAATGTCAAACTTCTATGGGCTCCGACGCTGGTTGGAAAGTGGAGGGGCCGAGAGAAAATATAGCAATTGTAACAAAAGGTTTTATAAAAAAAGCTCTATTGTTTTGCAAAAAAGTGCGGCAGCCATGCCCCCCCCCCCTTTGTCGGAGGCCCTGACTTCACAGGCACAATAAGGCGATCGTTATTAATTGATGATGTTGCAGACGCTCCAACCCACAAATAACTAGAATCGGCAGTTTTATAAGAAGTTCCTGCGAAAAATTCGACTTTTGCCCATCCGCTAAAAATAATTCTCTCTTTTGTAGGGAAGAATTCGAGCCCTGGATAAGCGATACACTCGAAAAAAGAAATAACACATTATTCCTTTCAAATACTCAGTACTTTTTGGAAAGTTATACGAATCCACTTTCAAACAGATACGTGGACAAATTGACTATGAAGACGTTTTAAGAGACAAACTCGCTGGAATTTATCAGTTTAAAAGCTAAATTCGGAACTCAAAAATGTCCCTGTTATAAATCATACAATGATATACGCAGATTTTAATTTCAGAATTCACTTGCTTCATTTGTGTATTTAGAAATAAAATTTTATAACAAATTCATAAACTGATGCCGACCCAATGGCTTACGTGCGAGATTTGGTGAAAAACAAATGTCCTCTGAAATTCTTGTTTCAACATATCGAAGAATCTTATGTCAAGCAAGAGATTAGCAAACTGAAGACCTCAAAATCGCCAGGTTCAGATAAAATACCCATTAAACTACTTAAAGATGGTGCAGATAAAATACAAAAACTTCCAACAGACACACTTGGTTGCTTATGTGAAGTACAGAAAGAGACAAACGTGTTCCAACTATAAACAAAATATCATGGTACTAGATACAAAACAATCCCAAGAAAATCGTATAAATATCATATAAAATTACAGCTGAACTCCGATCGAAACGTGAAAGTGTTAAATCATAATTAGGCCTATTCACAACGTGGGGGGTCACGTGATTAATGTCCTGACTAGGGTCTAGACCTCAGTACTTGTCAGCTTAAATTGATCTAAGGTGCGCCTACAAAGTGCTCCCATTTACTATGAAAACTTTCCTATTGGTGATCGCCTCGTGCAGTTGAATCTAATTTAAAGATTCGAAGTAGCGCATAAAGGCCGATTTCCATTTGACATTTTTTGTGCGCGCGGGCGTAGCGCCCAAATCTGAGCATGCGTAGTTAAAATCAAGTGGTCTCGATGTTGCGTCCGCTGTGAGCGCCAGAAAGTTGACAGAGTCTCAACTTTGTCAATTGGAAATTGGCCTTAAAGGAGTACTGTCATTGGCTTCGGTTTCTTCTTCCACTTTATCGACGTGAAATTTTGCAGGCACCATTGGGAAATTGATCATCAAAAATATCAAGCAGTAACAAAAAACGAGGCTAAATGAGAAGTTTTTCTTTGACTGCTGCCATTAACCCGCAAAGACCGGATGAAATTGAGAACATTTGCCAGTCTTTACATAAAAAGTGAACTAGCTCAAAACACGAAGGCAGCATGGCGTAGCGGAGTGACTTTCAAGCAAATCTTAGTTGAAAGGAAAAGAACAGACTCCGCCGTGTCAATTTAAATGAGCAACGTGAAATATTATCAATAAAACCTGTAACCAATCTATGCTAACAAGGACACATGTCCAGGAAAATTATAAAGAAAATATGCCGATGAAGTTGCACGGACCGCGGAAGCAGAGGAACAATTTTATTTTGCACTGTAGAAAAGTGAGGAGGGCATGGCCCTCGGCCTCCCCCGGTTTCGCCCGGTTTCGCCGGCCCTGACTGGCCAGCGGGGACAAAATAATATGCGCTGTCAGCTGTCGTCAAGTTGAAACCGCTTATAGCTGCATCGATCCATTATCGCACAAAATCGGTTTTTCACAGACAAGAGATGAAAAGAGAAAGAATACGATTCAATAAACGACTGACTCAATGATGGAGTGATAGCTGCATCGCTCCATTATCGCACAAAATCGGTTTTTCACAGACAAGAGATGAAAAGAGAAAGAATACGATTCAATAAACGACTGACTCAATAATGGAGCGATAGCTGCATCGCTCCATTATCGCACAAAATCGGTTATTCACAGACAAGAGATGAAAAGAGAAAGAATACGATTCAATAAACGACTGACTCAATAATGGAGCGATAGCTGCATCGATCCATTATCGCACAAAATCGGTTATTCACAGACAAGAGATGAAAAGAGAAAGAATATGATTCAATAAACGACTGACTCAATAATGGAGCGATAGCTGCATCGCTCCATTATCGCACAAAATCTGTTATTCACAGACAAGAGATGAAAAGAGAAAGAATACGATTCAATAAACGACTGACTCAATAATGGAGCGATAGCTGCATCGCTCCATTATCGCACAAAATCGGTTTTTCACAGACAAGAGATGAAAAGAGAAAGAATACGATTCAATAAACGACTGACTCAATAAGATTCAATAAACGACTGACTCAATAATGGAGCGATAGCTGCATCGCTCCATTACCGCACAAAATCGGTTTTTCACAGACAAGAGATGAAAAGAGAAAGAATACGATTCAATAAACGACTGACTCAATAATGGAGCGATAGCTGCATCGCTCCATTATCGCACAAAATCGGTTTTTCACAGACAAGAGATGAAAAGAGAAAGAATACGATTCAATAAACGACTGACTCAATAATGGAGCGATAGCTGCATCGCTCCATTATCGCACAAAATCGGTCTTTCACAGACAAGAGATGAAAAGAGAAAGAATACGATTCAATAAACGACTGACTCAATAATGGAGCGATAGCTGCATCGCTCCATTATCGCACAAAATCGGTCTTTCACAGACAAGAGATGAAAAGAGAAAGAATACGATTCAATAAACGACTGACTCAATAATGGAGCGATAGCTGCATCGCTCTATTATCGCACAAATAGGTTTTTCACAGACAAGAGATGAAAAGAGAAAGAATACGATTCAATAAACGACTGACTCAATAATGGAGCGATAGCTGCATCGCTCCATTATCGCACAAAATCGGTTTTTCACAGACAAGAGATGAAAAAAAAAGAATACGATTCAATAAACGACTGATTTAATATCAGATAATATCAAATATGTATCAAAATAATTTATAATCATATGAAATTTCAGCGTAATTATAGATATTTTGTGCATTAAAAATGACATGAAATGTTTGATAATAACTTATAAATATATTCAAAATAAAACTTTGAGCTTCTGACAAAATATCCTTAAACAAATCATTAATTAAACAACGGCCTGTGGGCTCTACCCACTGATCTATAAAAAAGACTGGATCGAGCTTCTAATATGACCAGAGTGTCGCCATCCGGGTAGAGGGCCCCAGAACAGCCCATGCGAGGAGACGGCCTTAAGTGTCAGTCCTAGCAACGTCTTCAGCTGTTCTGGTCTTGTTATTTTTCAGGACTCATACACAGCATTGCAGCTCTCACGTTTCTTTTCCTTTTGAAATTGAACCGGCTTCAAACTTTGGTGTTTTAAAACAATGGGAAGCTCAATCAGTCTTTTTTATAGATCAGGGGCTTTACCGTCAGAGTAGCAATTATTTCCCCTTTAAACTTTGACCTCTTATAGAGTTCTTAAGTGATGACGTCACAAAAATCTATTTTAGAATTTTTGAATTTGGTTAACTCGTCTTTGATGCATTACAAATTACAAAATATTCTTTATTCTTTCAACGTGACTACGACTTTCAATAACAATTTATTCATCACTCTTAAGATATTACAAAACTTTGAAAGTTAATGCAAAATTTATATCAAAATCAGTCTACGCATGGGAAATCAACCTTTCCAAAATAAATGTTCATCCATACCTCATAGGTATGGGTACATTAGCTTATTCTAATCCTCCCCTTTTACTGACCTGGCTCCAAAGACCAACACATTATTGTCATTCTGTGTTATTGTTCTGTGACAGGAATTGAAAACCCAAGGGGAGCCTTGAAATGGTAACAATAATTGATGGTTTTTGATGTCAATAAATTATTTCTATGAATTCAGAATGGAACCTCTAATAACGATGTGGGCAGCATATTAGAGAAAACAATCTATTTCTGGGCCTAACATTTTCTATTTGAGCGAACCTATGTCTGCGTTTTTGGTTAATTTACAGCAGGGGGTTGTGGCCTCTTACAAAATCACAAATATAAACACAAATCACAAACAAATCACTCCTGGCCAAGAAAAGTTTGATCAACAGAAAGATTCTTGTAATCAGCAATCCTATTCGTCCTGCAAGCTCCTTTCTTATGTCTTCATTGGCGTCGAAGTACGTCTAGAAATTGTATCCTCAGCTCTTGTTACTAAGCGACGAAGCTCCTTCCTAAAGGTTGATCCAGAGAAGCAGTACAGCATGCAATTGATCGAAGAATTTAGGACCACGCCGAGTTTAGCAAAGGCATATGTTTCCTGAACAAATGTCCATTGGTGCGATCCTTCTTCTACGGAAAGAAAAAAATGTCTGATTGAGAGTGGAACATCCACACGTAACGTTTTAGGATTTGTATTTTTCAGTTAATATCAGTTTTGTGTTCAGTTAGATTCGTTGATTCTGTTGTGTGTTTATGCCAAAACTGCCTTTCAAGTGCCATTCATGAGCAAGGCGAGGTGGGAATTTCTATAGGCAAGGAAATCAAGTTTTTAGGGTTACACCATTTTGATGCTGATTATTTCTTGGTATCACCTTTCATATGTTAAAAATTAGCGTCACGGATGCAGAAAAGGGCCTTTCTTCACTTGTTTCTTCCCACAAATCTGATGTTACAAATAATAAAAGCGTGAACATTAAAGCAAGAAGTCCCTGTATCATCCTTTTACAAGTGGTCTAGGCCATCCTTTTACAAGTGGTCTAGGCCATCCTTTTACAAGTGGTCTAGGCCATCTGGCCTTGGCAATGATCGTCGCGTACTCCATGATCTAGGGTAATCGATTGTAATGCCTGTCTAAAAAGGTGCCCACTGTCCGCATTTTCTACCAGACTTTAATTGAAGAGGAAAAACTGGAAAAGCATTGTTTGTAATTGAAGCTAAAGAAGATGTTCCAAAATAGAGCTAGGAATGTTCAGTAGATTCTCCCTTCAACGGAGGATATGATATATGGGATAAGATAACGGTCTGTGGGCAGAAGGTGCCTGTTGTCCGGCTGATGTCTCGCTGTTGTCCGGCTAGTGTCCGGCAGTTTTTGTTGTTTGCAATCATCCGCAATATGGAGATTTCCTTAAATTAAGGTTGTAATGAACCATTAATCGGACACAGTAAGACCCTGTTTACACCACAGAAAAAAGAACGGAACTCTTTCATTCCGGGCCTGAAAAAGCGACGATAGGCCTTGCGTTTACACTAGGCATCTTGGCTCATTGCTAGTTTGGGAACGGTTCCGTTCTTCTTTGGTTTCGCTGAAATGCGAAACTCTTTGGCTCCGTTCCCAAATCGTGATTTGCTTTCTCTAGTACAAATAGCCAGGAACGGACGTTTATAGTGAATAGGCAAAAATTTGGTTCCGTTCCCTTTTGCTGGAGTGTAGATGCAACGAAAAAAGAGGTATAATGCCTAAACATAAACGGAATCAAAGAGTTCTGTTCCTCTTTCCGTACTGTAAATGGGGTCTAAATCATATAGTTGAAAACATACCTTTCCCAAACTGAAGCATGAAGAAACATTGGTTCACACATTGCCAGGCTAATAAGATCAAAAACGCAAAAGTGACGGTGAGTAAGACCTTCGTGATCTGCCGATCCTGTTTCTGTCTTTCGGTGATCTTGTCCTGATTCTGCTCGAGTTCTTGAAATTCCTTTGTTTTGTAAAGCAACGTGATCACAAGCCATGCATTGAGCACTGCTATGGAGAACCAAGGAGCCAGAACCAGAAACATGCAATGCACCCTGGGAAAAGATAGTGGTAAACCTGTTTACATCGGTTGATAGTCAACGACGTGAAGCGTGCATTTGCTAGGGCAAAGAAATCATCCGAGTTTGCCTGGCACCCAGATTTGACTCTCACCAAAGTTTGACTGTCATCCAGAATTGATCGTCACCCAGGTTTGACTGTCACCCCACTTTAACTGTCAACTGGGATTGACTGTCACACAGGATTGACTGTCACCCAGGTTTGACTGTCACCCAGGTTTTTGATTGTCATCAAGGTTTGACTGTCACCCAGGTTTGACACTGTCGCGGAAAGCAGGGAGTTTGCCGCGCAAACGCCTTTCCCACGGTTTACTTGCGTAATTAACCAGCGTGTTATTAATCAACGTCGTTTTTTCAGTATTCTTACTGTTTCTTTTGTCTCGTAATAGATCAACATAGGTTTAATCGTTAACACATTTATTGTTGGTAATATCTTTTGTATTTGCCGCTTGGTTAATTGACTTGGAACATTTACACATATCTTTTGTAATCATATTTTCTAAAGGGACCGATAACTAAAAACTAATTGCTTATGGTTTAATGAGTCAGTGTGTGTTGGAAATGAGCGTGTAATGTATACCACATATTTTTGCTAATAAAATGATAAAATACAAAATGTTGTATTGATTGTTGATTGCCTTACTGCAACACACTTTGTTGATTTGTTCGGACTGTTACGATACAGTGGAGGCACTGCCCGGATAGTGTGTTGGAGTAAGTTTTGTTTGTGGAAAATATGTCGGTGATAGATAGGAGAAAGAACGTTCGATTGGCGCATAGAGAATTTGCATTGCAAATCATAGAGGACGGTAATGGAAACGACGTGAGTGAAACAGATTTAAGAATGATTCAGTCACAGCTGAAGGAAAAGCAGAAGAAGCTTGATAAATTGGACGACGAGATATTGGGGTTAATAAGTGAGGAAGGAGAAGCCGATGATTGTGTAAAGGAAGGCAAAGAAGCGGGACAGTTTAGATCAAAAGTTCAGGCTGCTATAATACAAATCCAAGGTCGATTGGATGATAAGTTACAACGCAGTGGTTCCATTGACAGTCTAAGTTCTACAACCACTTTGAATACTAGAAAGGTACGGGCAAGGTTACCTAAATTGGAGATGCGAAAATTCAGCGGTAAACCGTATGATTGGCAGGAGTTTTGGGACGCATTTCGCTCGTCAGTTCACGAAAATGAGGAACTTTGTC